ATGTTTCGTCACCAGTTATAACCCTTTTGAGCAGATCAGGATCATCATTGACGTCGTTCAACATGTCTTGGGCGATGTTCATGCGACACTGCTTCTGATCCAAATTAAGCAGTTTTGGAACGAATTTCGCTGACACACGTGTCATACCCAAAACATCCGTTAAAATTGATTGGCATGAGCCAAACGATATGTTAAGATCATCAACTATTTCTCTAATCGTGATTCGACGATTTTTCAACACAATTTCTTTCACTTCCTGAACATTTTCGTCGGTTTTTGACGTGCTGGGGCGTCCAGAGCGAGGTTCATCGTTAACATTTTCTCGGCCCTCTTGGAATAACTTATACCATTTATAAACATTTTTTTTGCTCAAAGTTGACTCACCGTACGCCACTGTCAACATTTCAAGAGTTTTTGAACACTTAATACCATTTTTTACACAAAAATTAATACAAACTCTCTGCTCCATTATTTTCAAAAGCAAAAAATCGCCGAGCACGCAAACACGAGTCTAACCTTTATGCCTCTCACATAAAAACAAAACATGCTATATAGTCAAAACTGTGAACATATGATCGTGACGAGTGTACCAACACAACAAAAAAAAATTTTTTAAATTAGAGTGTACAGAGCGCGCGAAATTCAAAAAGTCACCTTACTTTTTGATCACACCTCGTATAATACATAAATATTCCCTCCTCCAAAAGAATTGATACGATTCATTTAAATATAATTTTATATTACTTTGTCTTATCTTGTTTGACGGCAGTTTAAAGGCAGTTTCATAGCATGTCAGCCATGTTTAGTACTCTCCCTAGTACCTTTGTCATACTGACTTAAGCCGGTTGCGCCTCTCTGATAAATTTAGGACTCTAGGTGAAACAATAGTTCTGTTCGCGTTACATGAAATCCCCAAATATTTTTGCACTTAAAATGAGATAGATATATATTTGGCCTTGAAAAGAGAGAAAACGAAGATGCTGAGTGCCAAAAGTGCAAGCAATACGAACAGACCTACTGTGTCAGCAACATGGACGAGTTTTCGTCCTGTTTTGCGCAGGTCCCCAGCTGACGTCATAGACACGTCATAACCTTTGAATTTTTGATTACAGACATAAAAATGCCGAATTGTGCAATAAAATACTGTAAAAATTCTACAAAAAAAAATTTAGGAAATGTAAAATACTTTCGTTTTCCGAAAGACAAAATTGTCTCGGACATGTGGATTAAGGCATGTGGCAATCCAAACGTTTCCAAGCAATCATATTTCAAAGCATTTCTATAATTATTTATTAATTAGTAATACTTATTTTTATTAAAAGCATTTTATTATAATTACTTCAATGTATTCTTATATTTATAGCAAGAATTTGCTCAAAACATTTTCTACCCGGCTGTTATGAAAATCATTAATACAGCAAATGTTGAAGTATTCACCCCAGAAAGTGCGAAAACTGAAAGTGGATGCTATTCCGACAGAGTATCTTGAAATAATTTCAAGTATATCAACTAATTCAGTTACTTCAACAAAGGATGCATTACAAGAATTATCAGTGCAGAGTGCATCAACTTTAATAAAAGAATCAGTGCCCTTAACTATATGTGTTTCAACACAAACAGATATGGTTAATTTATGTGATAGGTATATGGGCTGTATTCAAGGAGCACACTATCAGTGCTATTTGTATCATCTATTCTTGTTTCACATCTAATAAATGCTAAAGATAGAATGACATAAATAGCGCTAATAGTGTCTCATTATTATTTCATGGAGATACAAGTCTCAGGAAACATCAATATTTAACAAATTGTGATGCAAGTAAAAAAAATGACTAATATTCTAATTGCAGATGAAATATTATTATATTTAATCAAAACAATGACTTATATTAGATTAAAAAACTGGACTCGTCAAATTTATAACAATTCGCATAGCAATAAAAAAAAATGTATAAGTTACAAATAAAAAATAATTTTTGGTAATTTTTTAATCATCTTTGGTCTATCAACATAATTCTCAATAATGTACGTTTTATAATTATTTCATTAGCATAAAGTGAAAATGTACTTATTTTTTTTACAAATTTTATTATAAGATAAAATAATTCATATTTTAAATTATATATCTCGAAGATTGTATTAAAAGACACATTGAAATGTCAAAACATTTTAATAATTGACAAATTTTACTGACAATTAAAACTCAAAACATCAAATATATATTTTTTTAAATATTTCTATGCCGTCTTTGTGTGTTTTTTATTTTTGTCTTACGTTTCATGTTCAAATATTTCTAATTTCATATTGTTATTTTTAAACAAAAAGTTAAAAAAAATTATTTGATTTAAAAGTTAAAAAAAATTTATTTGATTTCATTATTAACACAGAAAATCAATTATTTAATTATTAAAAATTAAATATTGAATGTTTTGTACATTAAAAATCAATAAAAAAAGGTTTAAATAAGATTAGTATATTTTCACATTTGTGTGTATATAGCGCCAAACGTGACGTAAACTGGGGGTTGATACTGATTGGCTCAAATAATAAAGCTGCGCTCGGACCACCATTTGTCTTGTTCCATCATGGCCCTTACTATTTCACCTTTCCGATTTCGTTTGCCGTGTTCATGAAATGGCACCTTATAAAGAGAAATTTTAACCTCAATGCAGTTTCGATTTGTTTCAATTTTTCGAATGTGCTGAATGCGTTTTGTTATTCTATAATAAGTACTTCTTATCTATTTCTTATCGAAATATTGAAATATCTGTAGAAGAGTTGTTCAAGATTGTTTCAGACTGATTGTTATACCGAAATCACGTGTACTATGATTACGATAACCTGGAGATTACTGTTTCCTATTAATAGAAAACAATTTAATCCGTTAAATTTCTTTTGCACTAGGTAAAGAAAATTATTTTACTTTTCTACAATTGGTTATTTAAATCTGAATAATAGTTTTTAAATGTTTATAAAACATGTAACATGAAATGAAACCAAGTGTTTCGGCAGTGTGGAAATCGTTACAGCAATTTATCATTATATGGAGATTATCTCCAAATACTTTTTGATTAATATGCATAAAAGAATAGGTTAAAATAGCAACTAAAATATTTGTGTAATTTTTTATCTTAAGTTATCAGATATAAATAAATAAATCAAAATGTAAAGAATTAATGTTGAAAAGAATGAATTATTAAATTTTGTTATCAGAGAATTTGCTTCTGCACAAGACTTTACTACACTTAAATCAAAACAGAATGTAGAAAAAGATCCTATACCATCAAAGCCGAAGAAGCCACCAAACGTATTTATCTTATATTACAACTCTGTAAGAAACAAATTACAAGAAGAGTATCCTCATTGTAAACCAAAGGAACTTTCGAAAATAGTATCAGAGAGATGGGCACAAACCGATCCGACGATAAAACAAAATTTTCAGAAGCAATTTCGTGAACAAACTTCCATATATAAACAGAAATTAATGGATTATGAAAATTCTTTGACTAATGAACAGAAGATAAAAATAATACAAGAATTATTGAAAAAAGGACATACTTTGAAGAAGAATGAAATTAAACAAGTATTGAGATAACATTGATTATTTGTACATATTGAATATATACTAAAATTTCCAAATTATGTAACATTCTTTTATTTTTATGATAGAAACTTATGGAACTTGGAAAGCCAAAACGGTCATTATCTTCCTTCATATTATTCGTGCAAAGTAAAAAGGATACCAAAAAACCACAGGAATCATATAAAGTAAGTTAACTATACAATTTCTTAGGCCGGGTCTTATTTTAATATAAGTTGCTCAGAAACATTCTCCTTTTTGTATAATTTTTTTATATGTATATAAAAATATGAATCCAATATATTTAAATTCAACAAGATATTTAAAATTTTCAAGAGTTTTTTAGGGTTTTTGCCATTAAAGTTTGCTATTATTATTATTAAGTTTTTATTAAAATAGCTTTTTTATATTTCTAGGATTGGCTAAATAATATAACTAATGAATGGAAAAATATGACGATGATAAATAAAAGTAAATATAATGCAGAAGCAAGTGATTTATATAAAAAATATAAGATTGAAATGCAAACATGGCAGGATAAAATGATTCAAGCAGGTCATTATGATATTGTAAAATCCAATGTTAAACGTAAACTCGAGACAGATAAACATGAAAAATAGGATTCAGAGTGCCCCAACCAATGCAGTATACCTATCGTTGAATCCATTGCTGCAAATTTCTCCAATGTTAGAATTGAAAATAACGAAAATATTAAAATAGGTTGGGGCACTAGTACTACACATTATACATTTAAAAAAGATCCTGATACTAACAGTGGTAATAAGAAAATTGCATTAACATAAAAAAATTATATTTATCAGTTTGTAAAATTATAAAACGTTCATATCTAGATCAACGACATGAATCTACAAAGGACATGGTATTTTATGATAAAAATATTTTACAAACTACAGTGGAATGCCCAAGAAAGACGGCAGTGGATACATCGATAAACGAGGTTAAAAAGTCAGTTGTACAACCTCAAGACACACATATGTATACACAGATATATACATATTTTGTCTCAACATGGAAAAGAGTTTTAATAGTTCTAAAAAAGACTGGTGAAAACTGGAAGATGGTAAGAGAATATACATTTATTGGCACAGTTGGTATTCTAATATCAATATTTTGCGTTTTAAATCTTATGTATAAATAAAAATCGTTTGCGTATATCGAAACCTATTGGTAATTTATTTTTATACATTATGCACTTTGTAACGTATAATAAATAAGATATAGTTTATTTCTGTAATAAATTTATGTAACTCGTTACATTTCTGTGTAAAATATTCCTTGATTATTAATTAATTATCCTTATTTGCACATAATATATAGAAATTAACATTTTAAATATATCAGTATATCAATTTTGTTTCATTATTTAGATGTATATACTAACATCTTGTCTTTCCTTCTTTTTTTTTTATAGAAATTATACTAACCCAAATGAGATGACTATTATGATGATGACAGCAGCAGACGTATATATACGATGATTTATGCTATTTCAACAGTATACATACACATACATTCATTATATATTTGCATTTGATATTATAATGATACATACATTTATTATATATTTGCATTTGAATATATTCATTATATTTATATTCAACATTATGCATACATATATTTACATTATTAAAGGCTGATTGTTCCATCTTCAGATAAACTATGTGGTAATTTACCTATTAGATAAACAAAAGAGTAAAAGCATAAGAGAGTAAGAGAAGATGACAATGAGCTGAAGTTTATTGAAAGGTAGAATGACCCAGCCTAAGGAAATTTATATCATTATTATTTTAAGAATTGTGAAATTTATCTTGAAATGACATGCATTATTTTTTATCTTACTATTTTTTATGTGCGTGTGAATGATGTTATAATATGTTTATGAATATTTCAATCCAAATAGTAACAAAAAATTAATATACTTTTATATATATATTTTTTTCAGTTAAATAATATCCTTATCATAGTCCATCAATCCACATTATAGTCCTAATTTGATAGAAATGAGCAAACTTTGGATTTCTTTTTCAGTCTCCATTTATAAAATGGCATAATATAATAATAAAAATTATTATTACTTTTAAATTATCTTTTATTATTTATTTTTATTAATTATTATTCTGACTTTAAATTGTTTTTATAGTTTTTTTTATTCGATCTAGCAGCACTAAGTGTTTTTACATAAAAAATTTTTTCTATTTAAATTAAATTTTTTCATTTTATAAATTTATTAATACTTTAATAATTAATTCTCGGTTAATTCTTTAATTTTTTATGGTAACACTTAAATAGAGCAAGGTAACGCAATTTTGTGATAATGTTTTGTATAATGTTTTGGAGAAGAATTAAATAACCACTACTTTAGTTGGAAGAGAAAACGTCTTTGAATGAATTGTCATATAATAATTTCATTTAAGAGGAATTTAAACCATTTGGATTGGAATAGGAAGATTCTTCAATAAGATATATGTACACTTAGGTTTCATTGTATAAAGATAGTATCACTTGGGTTTTACTTTTTATTTTGATAGTAGAATTTAACTTTGCCACAGTCGTTGATATCAAATCGTTTGTACATATTATTAGATTAATATTCATTATTTATTTAATTTAGCATGATATAAAGAAATGGGATTTAACTTGGCGCCAGTTCTTGATATCAAATCTTTTATACGAATGATACATATCATTAAAGTTAATATTATTTATTTAATTTGGTATCCGAAAAATATATATCATTAGAGTTAAGTAAATAACAAGAAATAGTACCATTTATGTTTTATTTTTTAATTTGATAGAATTTAACTTGATTAAAGTTAAGATTGTAGCATCTGAATTTTAATTTTTCATTTGATATTAATTTTTTTCGAAGAGTAATAATTTTTGACAGAGAATTAAAGTTCCCATTACTTGGATTGGAATAAAAAGACCTTCAATAAGAATATCTTTGAAGAAAAATTAAAACTCTACAATTATACTTACATGGAACAATTATGAAGGAATTTTCAAGATTGACTACGTTTACACTGTTCAATTTACGCCGAAGTTATAACATCGATGTTACGAAATTGGCCAATCACAGTCATTCCATTTTTCAGAAGAATAGCTATGATTGGTTAGTTCCATAACGATCGATGTTATAACTTCGCCGTAAATCGGGCCGTGTAAACGTAGTAATTGTCAAAAAATCATAAAGCTTTTAGTAACAGGAATAATTTCACTAAACAATACGAAATTAAACCTCCTAAGCGAATGAATTTCATTTTGATCTAACATTATCGTTTCTTTTCAAGAAACTCTAAAGTTGCATGGTCAGACCATCAACTTTAGAGTTTCTTGAAAAGAAACGTATATGAAAGTCTAGGGAAATACTACAGTATACGTTACGTATACTATAGTATTTTCCTAGTTTTTCGTATACGCTTTTCAAGAATAGAAAGTCTGTTCTTTTTAGCTAAAGTTCTTGCACGGTTCATCTTTCTTTCTTTTCTCTTCACGTTGGAAAGAAAAAGAGAAAAAATGAACCGTGCAAGAAGTTCAGCTAAAAAGAACAGGCCTAGAGCCCTTTGTCTTGTTCAGTCTTGTTTACAAATCACGCAATTAAAAACTTTGATAAAGTGAATAGTCTATTTAGCCTAACCTCTAATCATCTTTTTAATCTTGTAAATTCGATACTGATAGAAAAGGTCTGTCTTCAAAAAGAAGAACAATCAAGCTGTGAAAGCACTTTTTTTTGTCTTTAATGTCATTATGTCGTAAACAATCAAAAATTTATGTCACTTGATTTTCATCGGCTTTTCTTCTTGATTGACGTGCAGTTTGGACACAGTATATACAGTAGCGTAACTCTCTGTCGGCACCTTTGATGATAGCGTGTATGAAATCGAACTGCACATGCGCGAGCTAAGTAGGTAACCAATCATAAGCCTGCTCTTTGTTGCTACACTGAACTGCACTAAAATGTTCTATCATGCTTTCACCAATTCCAAATATATATCTATTTCATTTTAAGTACAATACTAGCTCAGTTACAAAAGAACCTTATATCACTGAGTTTCTATTTTACATTATAGCTCTTTTATCATTTCTTCTCTTTTCTTAACTTGTTATTTATATATATTAGTCATTACATTTAATATATAAATTAAATTAGAAAATAAATAAGTAGCTAACCACACAATATAGAATCTGTATTGATCAATAAGAAATATAAAATTGAGAAAATACTAAAGAGAAATATACATATAATTATAGAAATATTATTTACTGAAAAGGAAATATATTTATTACATACATATATACATTTATACATTTTTAGTAAAAATGTTAAGAGTGAAGTAAGGGACAAATAGTATGTAAAATCAATATATTTATTCAAATATTGCATTAAAATAAAAAACATAATAAGTATGTACTTCTTAAATCTATAAATCTAAAAAAAATTAGAAAAAACAAATATTAATAAAATTAATAAATCAAAATCAAAATATATTTATGTACAATAATAAAAATATTTTTGTATGGTAAGAGAATTTATTTTAAGAACATTTACAAATATGCATACAATATATATGTATACGTACAATTATGACTGTGCTAAATATAATGTTAAATATACTTTTAAATTAAGAAAAAATATTAAAGCATAAATGAAATTTTTAATCCTGTTGAAAGAAATTTTTACATTGATATAATATTTTTAGGGCCTGCGCACGACAAAGGAACGAAAATTAGATATTAAGATTTCAACCTATCAGAAACCGTGTATTCCGATGTAATCAGTTTCTGATAGGTTAAAATCTTAATATCTAATTCCTGTTTCTCTATTGTGCTCAGGCCCTTACATACATTTAATATACATATAATATTTTTAATATCTCATAATAATTTTAAGAATTTTTAATATTTTAAATTTATAAAAATGTGTTTTTTTTT